CCCCCCCCCCCCCCCACTTACTAGCATGGGGTCCGGGTCCAGCTCCCTAAATCTCTGAAGCTTTCTGACTCGATTCAGACCTTTTTATTGGTCTCCTGATTCGATTAGGATTTGGAGATTTGGCCACTGAATCGAGCCGAATCTCCTCCGAATTGAATCAGCACCTGAATCACAGCCCTACTATGCAGCAATACTGCAGGAAAGAGTCTGGGGTTATAATGTTTCAAACTAAGTTTCAGTCAGTTCTGCAGTGCTGCTACAGAAGGAGAAAAACATCATTCTGTGGTGTATTAACAGGAATGTGAGACATGGGAAGTAATTATTCACTTGGGCCTCTTCTGTGAGGCATCAGAAGGAGCACTTTCAAGTTTTGTGCACTGCACGTCAAGAAAGATATAGGTAAATTGGAGAGAGTAGCTATAACAGAGAAGGTCATGTTTTCCTGACCTCGTCAGGAAAGGTTGAAAGAACTGGGTTTGTTTCATGCAGGAAAGCTTTGACACAACAGTTAACCACTATATAATAACTGGTTTTACAGAACAAATTTATCATTGTCTTCTGTATGTTCAGTGTACAATAGGGCAAGAAAAAAGTCAGCTCAATTTGCTGTAAAGAAGATTTAGGTTGGATACTGATAACGTTTTTTAACTTCAAGGGTGGTGAACACCTATACCAGGCTATCCAGGGAGGTTACGGAATCTCTTTTATTGGAGCTTTCTCAGACCAGATCAGACAAACATCTCTCAGGGCGGGTCTCAGTATACTCGTTCCTGCCTCCAAGCACAGGGCAGGACCGACTATTTCTTGTGATCATTTCTAGCCTCACATTGCTATGATTTTGAGACTGAAGTATCCAAAAAGACAGAAGCTGATGAATTAACCTGCTGCACCACTGAACAAGTTGCCATCCCGCTGTGGTAGGGCAGTCTGTTGCAAACACAGAAGCTGCTGTTGAACAGCTGTTCACCAGCTGAACAGTTATGCAAGGCAGTTGGTATACAAAACTGGCTTGCAGAGTATTGTACAATGTATGGTTGGATTATTTATATTTTTCACACAAATATATAGAATTTTTTTTTGAAAGGGAGAAGAACTTAAAAGTGATTTGACTAGAAGATCTATTTGCTTACTTTATTATATCTATCAATGCATAAATATTAAGGAAGGAATTTGAAGTCAAAACCTACTTCTGCTGGGCAGCGTTGCGTAGATAAGAAGTGATTGTGGAGGTCAGAACAGAATAATCCTAAAATATTACATTGTTATTTTATGAAAAACAGTTTAGTTTTTTCTTCATTTAAAACTTCTGTGTAAATTGCTGAAATGTTAAATTGAGGAACATGGGAGCCATCAGAAGTAAATGTGTACATCTTAATAGTGATTTCATCTTAGAAGATTCTGACATTTTCCTGAAACAAACTTTAATAAAAGGAAAACACCTGTCTTTCTTATAGTCAGGCATGGGCAAACAGCTTATCTGGCCAGACATAGTACATAGTATTGTGATTTGTGAATTAATACTGTAGGCTCCACTCCTGTGGCTCATTGTGCATGCAGAGAGAGCCCAGGTGACTCCAGCAAATTTCCTTACATAGGCTACATTCTGCTCACTTGCAGCAGTTTGTAGAACTGTGGTCAGAAATGGCAAATGATATGTCAGAATTAGTGGTCCATTGAGTCTAGGTTCTTATCATATTTTATCATGGAAAAGAAATAGTACAGCTGAGTGTAGTACAGGTTTAGTATAAGGATTTATCACGCCTGTATCTGTAATTAAATTTGTATCCTTACTTTGCAAGCGTTGCAGTTAGTGGGAAAATGCTGTACAATTCAGGCTAAATGGCAAGAAAAGGTTGTCAGTCATATTTTTCTAATTTTTCCAGATAATAATAAAAACATTGAAGAAGATGCTATTGCTTTCAAATGGCACCAGCTTATCTATAAATGGGACTGGATGGGGCTGGCTTTTGTGCAGTAGGTTGGTGCTGGACTGAAGTTTCTCTGTGTTTTTGTGTAGTGCTTTGGATAAGAGCCAGATTTAGACTGTTGGGTGCTATGGGAATGCAAATGATGCAATTAAAATAAATTAGGAAGCCACTTCAGAACCTGTATTTACTTAAAATTACATTATGTTTTTTGCTTATGTATTTCTGACTCAAATGTTACATGCATTATCATTAGGAATTAGGCAAGCACAAGTGGCATCTGTAATGTACTTTTGAAGAGTAGGTGCTGTTTATTTGCGTATTTGACATTTTCTCAGTTGGTGGAAGTGCAGTCCAGTGTTCAAAAAACATTCATTGCAGTGTTGCTTCACCATGCACAGCAGACATTTCAATTAGGGAAGAATAAATTCACGTGATATGCTTATCAGGAAACTTTTCCCTGTTCACTGATTTCTAAGCCCCTTTTTGTCATTTTTATTGGACCAAAAGTGGCTGCATCAAGATGTACTTTTATCGATGCTGCTGTCACTTCCTTATAATGACATCTTTTGTATATTTATAGGTTTTGTATTATGGAAGATAATTTATCTTGCACAAAATAGTTGCTTCCTATATTAAAAATCTACTACACAGGTCCCTAAATAAGTAACTGCCTGAAAAGAACCATAACAGATGGTGACATTGCTAAATCATATAATATAAATCTTCAAGGGAAAGCCCACATACCAGGAAAAAAGGACCAAATGAACAAAGTATCTGGACAGCACTTGGGAAATGAGGAAGTCCATAGATGCAGAGAGGAATAGTTAGTTGTGTTAGTCTGAAGTCAGGCAGGAGGCATGGTAGAGATGCACCGTATAGAGTAGACTAACTAAATCAGAGATGCGTAATCTTTTGGGAGCCTTATATCACTTCATCAGATGCTTATGAGCTCATAAAAGCTTATGCATCACTGGCTTAGCTAGGTTGTAGATGCACAGCAGTTGCGGTTCAGAATTCCCTGTGGTATTACTACACAGACGTGCTTCTCCCTGGACCTGGAAGGGTCACTTCTTCGGATGAGAACGTAGTTATTCTTTATGTATCCAGTCAATCCTTGGCCTCATGTAGGGCATCAAAAGCAGTGGTTGGTAGTGTCTTTGTATGGCTGACCAGGGGCTGACTTGAACTATTGATCTGGTTGTGAAGGGCTTTAAAATATCATTACGCATCTGCCAAGTTAGCCAGTACCTAGTGAATCTGACTTGTGTGATCATCTGCTTCATTTAATTTCTCCCTCAGAATAAATCTGTCTGAACTTGCCTCTTCCCTATGTACTGCTACAGAATGTGAGAAAGCAAACTTTAATTTCTTTAAGCATATTTTTATGTGAGAGAGGAATGGAAGATGAATTCGGTTTTGTTTTTACGTTTTTTACAAAAGTGATCATTTTAAAATACTTGAAAACGAGGATGAAGTCTCATTAGGTGAGGAAAAGGGAAAGAAAAAATAGCAAGAAGGTTGCAGACTGAAGCAATAGGAAGTGATTTTTATACATAGTAGTACCAGTAATTGCTATCAGAATACATTTAGTGCGTTTTCACCTTGAAAAGCAGATGGTTAAAAAATGTAGCACCTTTTATTCTCCAGCAGATCTGACTATTATCTTTTAATAGATGGAATTAAAAATCATGCATACTTGGGAATTGGCACTCTCAGATTTGCAGGATCTCATGCAATATGGAGGCCTTTATTTTGCCTATTGGATACTGTGTATCATCATCATCATCATCATCAAAAAAAACTCAGTGGATTTCTCTTGAAGGCTCCTTAATTCTCCTTCTCTCACTGTTCCATGTGAAATGTAAAACAGTGAACTATTGTCCCTCACATTGCTTTTAAAATAAATCCCCAAAACAGCAGTTACGATTTTATCCAGATGCTAAGTAGCAGAACTGGCATTTGATTCAGGTGCCAGAAATCTTTATTAAGAAAATAATTTTATGACTTATGAACTGTGGTATGTTTGCTCTGTTTTTTTGCTATGTTGGCTACATGTATGATTCACTGATATGCTGTTTGCTAGGCCTGTACGAGTAGGCAGCTATTTGATCTGGCTTCAGATCTGGCCACTTCAGATGCTACAGCAATCCGATCTGGAGCTCCAGACTGGGTTTCTGCTTCGATCCAGCTGAGGGTATAATGGGTAATCAATGAAATATCTATAACTTTGTTGTCTTTTGTCTGATTTGGATGAAACATGCAGGGGTGGTAGCCTCTACTGAGAGCATGAAGCCTGCCATGTTTCAAGAAGATCAGTGCAGGGGTTCAGGGGGAACTGCACCCCAAATTCTTGAAAGCAAAACTTGTGTCACTTACATGTATTACACCATGGGGGTCAAAACTGCAGAGGTAGTGGACCCTGCTCAGGCCACAAAGCCTGCCAAGTTGCAAGGAGGTAGGTGCAGGGGTTTGGGGGAACTGCACCCCAAGCTGCTGATGGTCAAAACTTGTGACATATGACCCTGTGTGTGTTAAGGTTCAGTGGGCTGAAAACTGCAGGGGTGGTGGCCCCTGCTCAGGCCACAAAGCCTGCCATGTTTGTGCTATAATGACAAAGGGAGTATGTATCATAACAGTTGGATTTGTGTTACTATGTTACTTTTTTTTTGTTTTTTTTTGGTGGAAATCCTCATCTCTCAAATCTTTTGGAGCTGTCATAATGTGGAAGTGTATCAGTACCTGCACGGAGATAGTGAGCTGACACAAGAACTATATTCTAGTACTAGTTAGGTGCTTCCTTGAGAGAGGAATTCTGTTCAAGATGTAAATTATATGAACAATAGCAGTAAAATTACTACTTTAATAATCTTCCATTTGCCACATACTGTCCACTGGTCAGTGTAAACAAAGTGTAAGTAACTGTACAGTATCAAGGTGAGAACTCTCTTAATCTAGGAATTTTAGATTGACTGTATCTGATCCCAAGGAAACTTTCAAGTGTAATTGTTTTTGACAAATGTTTGCTATGTATTATGTTGCCCAGTATCCTAGTTTTGCAGACAAACCCTTATCCTGCTGGCAAGCTCATGAATCATCTTACGGGTACTCAGTATTTGAGTGAAAAAGGCTGTGGTCATTTAGGTCCCAATTTGGGACATGGCTCCAGGGAACCCTGTACCTGTCATCTGATGGTTCCCCAGGGCACAGAATATCCCTGGAAATTTCCAAAAGCAAATTTGACAGGCATTTGACTGGAATGGTTAATTCAGGGGTGACTTGAGTGGAGGGCTAGACTGCATGACCTCATAGGGTCCCTTCCAGCTCTATTTTCCTGTGCTCCTATGATCTTTTATATAAAGTGCTCAGTACATGAAAAAGGTATATAGG